CAAGTAGATGGATTTATAGTGCTGAACTCGGCTTCTTGGTCAAGTTTCCTTTTGTCATATTGATAGCATTCTCCTCATCAAAAGCAACCTCACGAAAGGATCGTATTTCCTTTTAATAAACATTAATCTGTTCTATGGTATCATGAACTAGCATGCTAGAATAACAGTATTAGCTAGTAGGTTAGCGATTACAGGTATGATTATATTTACACCTCCCTTTGAGTAATGTCTAAATTACATTTACCAAAAAAATTTCAAAAGAGATTTATAATAAGAGTTCCCTTTAAATATTAATATTCCTTGTAAATGTGGAATGTGACTTGACTTACAAAAACTACGTTTTGGCCCACAGCTCTTCAGAAATATACCTATAGTATGAGATGAGTACATTTAGTGATGAAAGAATGATTCTGCCTCCTCAGAGGGTGAGGATATTTAGGGAGTGCATGGAGTAAAGAACACATGGTTTGGAGGAACTCAGGTGCAAGTTGAGAACCCAGTCCTGCCACTGGTTAACGATCTTGGTCAAGTCAATTATCCCTTGGTTGTCTTTTCTACAAAAATGGGAATAATGATAGCATCAGCCTCAAAAACACATTTTTAAGAATGTATGTGCAATTCCTGGCATATAACAGGTGGTTAATAAATCATATCTATTATTAGATGTAAGTTTGTACTAGTTCACACATGCCCAAGAAACTCTGCTATACGTGATATCATTTGGAAGAATATAAAAGACATAAGGTGAGTACCAACATTTCCTTTGCAAATTAATTACCAAGATAGGGCCAGAAGATCATTTCTCCAAGTGCTATATCTTTTAGTAATTCTTTGAAATAATAATGAACATTTATTTTATTCTCAGCACCATTTTCAATCCTTTACTTGGATTATCTCACTTAATCCTACAAGTGCCCTACGAGAAAAGGGGGAACAGGTCGTACGACTTGTGTGTAGCCCAACGGGCATTTAAACCCAAGCACCTAAATTCCAGATGGGCCCCTCTACCACCATGCTATTCCACCTCTCTCAGGTAAGACCAAGCATGTTAGAGAAGATGTTAACTTGGGAATCTATGTAAGTACTGATGATTTACTCTTAAGAAGACTTAAGATCAGGCTGACCAGGTTTTGGAGGACAGAGAAGTGAGCTACTGCCCAAGAGTCAAAATATTTCTCATTACAAACTCTACCCATCACGCCGTATTTGCTTGCCATGAATAAACCAGGAAACTGGACGAGTGAAATGTCTACATTTGCTCAGTGCTTTACAGTATGTGATTTCTTCCAACTACGGAAGACTATTTTCATCCTCATAGTTAGGTTGATGCAGGTAAACATTGCGAGTGAAATGTCTACATTTGCTCAGTGCTTTACAGTATGTGGTTTCTTCCAACTACGGAAGACTATTTTCATCCTCATAGTTAGGTTGATGCAGGTAAACATTGTCCCCACTTTATACATCTGAGGCTGGGACTCTTCAGTGGGTCATCCAAGATCACATGACCAGGAAATGGCAGAGCTATGACTCAAACTCCAATCTTTGATGTCAATTCTATTCTTTTCCCTACAAGGTCTCTGCAGACATGGTCTTTGGAAATTCTGTTTTTAAGTGGAATATCTCAAAAATCTGCTTTCAACAGGGCCAAGAGTTCAAACTCCAGTCTTAATCGGGGGGGGGGGGGGGGGGGAAAAA